GACTCCATGCAAACCGTGAAGATCTTAAACTCGCAGGTGAAATGGTTACATAACAAGGACATATCCATCGTGTGCCATCGGCTTCTCAGCATCGATCACTTCATTCGAGCTCACAGGGTACGTGTTTTCCTTCCTTTGTTCCTTCGATCACACCATTTTGATCAGGTTTTCAAGTGGTCGCAGCAGCGTCCATGGTTCGTTCTCGACTTTCAGCTCGCCAGCAGGATGTCCGAGCTACTCGGCCAGACGGGAAAAGTCGGAAGAGCTCGGGACTTGTTTGATATCATCATCCAGTACGCTTATGTTCCCAAGGAATCCACCTACAGCACTCTCATCAAGTCTTATTTACAGGATGGCAGATACAAATACGTCGACGAGGCTTGGAAGCTCTACAACCGGATGAGAGAGTTTGGAGGATACGAACCCCCGGCGATTGTCAAGCACTCGCTCTTCAAGTTTTTGACGGAGAGTGGGAAGGCGAGCTTGAGGTGGGCCGACAGAGCTAATGCCGTCTTCAACAGCATCCGGGAGTGTAATCTTCCGTGCACGACAGAGATGTACGAGACTCTAGTGATCATCCACGCCGTGAAGGGAGACGAAGCACGAGTCCAGTTTCTAGTTGACGACATGAAGTCACAGGGTCTGGAGCTCTCTCCGTTGATCTTTGGAGCACTTATCCGGGTGTGCTCCAAGAGTGGCAACTATGTCAAAGCCGAGAAGCTCTTCGAGCAGCTGAAAGAAACGCAGGAAGAGCTCGACTGGCACTACTACATAGCCCTCATGGAAGCTTACGGCAAGGCAGGTCTCCCTGGCAAAGCTATGGACTTGTTCAGGGAAACGGAAAACTCTCCGACTTTTCCAAAGTTTGCTCTCTTCAAGATCATCATCGAGGTGATGGCTAGCAATGACCAAGTAGAAGCTACGGAGGAGCTCCTAGGCAAGCTCCACCCCAGCCTCTACAAGTTCCAAACTTTGCAGTCGGCTTTCAACGCAGTGATGGACATGTACTCAAGGCTTGGCAAGTTCGACAAGGTGGACTCGACCTACGCGTACATGTCCAAGCATGGCTGCCGTCCAAACAGGGAATCCTACCACTTACAGCTCCAGGCATTCATCGACAGTGGTCGCCTCGACAAGGCCGAAGAGCTTTACAACAATATGATAGAGAGGAAGTGCCTGAGGCCAGACTTCAAGACGCACGGGATAATGCTGGGAGCATTCGGCAAGGCAGACCGGAAGGACAAAGTCAAGGAGATCTTCAAGCTGCTGACTGAGCACCGGCAGCCTGTACCGGAAGAGTTCCAGCCTTACGTGGAGGCGTCGGTGAAGACAACCTGGGTGGAAAAGGCGAAGCTCTACGTGAGACCGAAGCTCACGTCCACGCAGCGAGCGATCCTAGCGGGAGTGCTGCTAGCGGGCACGCGAATGACCGCAGCGTCCTACAACGGTGCGTGCATCCACTTCGAGCAGGACGCGGAGAGCTACAAAGGCCAGGCTCTGATACACAACTTGTACGAGATCTTCACGGACTGGGCAGTGGAGACTCCCAAGGTGGTGGAGGACAGCGGCGGTCAAGGCAGGAAGCTCCACTTCCAGACGACACCAAACGTGAAGTTCTACTTCTACTACCACCAGTACAGGCCGAACGGGGAGCAAAAGATACCGCGCTTGGTTCACCGGTGGATCCCCGAGCTAACGCTGGCCTACTGGTACATGTATGGGGGTCATAGATCTCCGGACGGCCGATCGATGGTTTTCAACGCGGAAGCTTACGATCACAAGGAGCTGTGCCTGGTGGTGGAAGCCATGTACGAGAGGAGGATCCAGTGCCGGATAATGCGAGACGAGCGTGGCAAGCACTACCTCGAGATTAGCAGCGAGTCGGCGGTGTGGCTGTGGAAGCTCGTCGCCGAGTACGTTCTCCCGGAGCTAATTCCTCTGCTCAAGATCGAGCCCACCTCCGAGCAAGTGCTCGAGCTCCCGGAGCCGACACATCCATTCTCCCGGCCCGGTAGCTCTGGAGAAGAGACTGATAGTGAGAAAGAAGACGATCTTAGCGAGGATCAAAACTTCCTTCCATAGATCTTGGAGGCAAAGAAGAAACTTCACAGCTCATCCAGGAGACAAAGAACATCTAAACTTCACAGCTCTTCTTGGAGACAAACTAAACTTCACAGCTCTTCCATAGATCTGGGCTCTTGACGATGGCATTCATATAGCTTGTGAGAGTGGAAGGGAAGTCGGTCATCACAGCGTCCACTCGCAATCCCTGCAAGAAGTAATCAAACTCGCGGTATGGATCCGCCCGGAAGTCTTTGGCCATGAACTGGGCTTCGTTGCGAAAGGTGGCGGGATGGATCATGAGGCCTCTTACGTGCGCCCGGTCCACTATATCCGACGGCGGTGAGAGCCTCCCCGTGGTCTCGTCTATGGGCGCTATGATGTTCTTGTCGATCGATATGCCCGCCACGTACGATTTTATGAAATCCATCGCTGCTTAGCTCCGAGTACGGCTGGAGTGTGTCTTGGGCGAGGTCCGTGTCTCTGCCAATGTTGAAGATCTTTGGCGACTTGGTCTGGTTTGCAACGCGCAGGATCGAGAGTGGTGCAAAGGATTGGATGAAAATCGGCTGCTGGAGCCACGATTCGGAGAGATACGGTGCGTTGTAGCCATACTTGAGCAGTGTTTCCACGTATTTGTCTTCGAAGAGCTTCCCGTGCGGCCATTTCACCTGAGAGATCAAAGACATGGAGTAGCAGTTTGGGTGATTTTCGTCTTAGAGCTTACATGCTTGTTGATGAAGACTGGGTTTTTTATCTCCGGATCAATGCCCACAACTCTGGGTGCCTCCAATGCAATCGCAATGTACTCCTCGAATGTTGGTATTTGATACATCCCTGAAAGAAGCAAACTTGCTCTATGAGAACACTTCAGATCTCTTACCATTGTAAGCTTGATCCCTAAACTCATAGCGCTGGTGGACACGGAGGGACTTGATCTCATCCAAGGTGAAGTCGACTGTTCCAGACGAGAAAGATTTTAACTAGAAGAGACTCAAGAAAGTACCCGCAAAAAAACCAGTGATGTTCTCGCCCTCCACTGGATAGGTTGCTCTTCTACTTGCAAACTCTGGGCGTTGCGCAACATCGGTTATGGCGTCCAGAGTGGTGTCGTGCAAGCAGATGAGGAACCCATCCTTGGTAGCTCCAATGTCCGTTTCAATGATGTCTATGCCTTCTTGTATTGCCCTCTGCAGAGAAACCACTGATAAGAATAGATTTGGCAACCGCGAGAGAAGTGAGAACCTTGAACGCTGGAACAGTTGATTCAGGAAATTCCCCATTGGCTCCACGATGGGCAATGGAGTAGGGGCCGCTGGCCTTGAAAGGAGCTCTGTGGTGAAATCCACCGGGAAGTCCTTGGCTGGAGATCACAAATTCGAAGGCCAGTAGCGCAAACAAACACAATGCCATTGTCAATGAAGCAAGGTTAATTAGTCTTCACAAAGTCGACCCATACATAGCATGAAGATGCTGCTCCATTTGTCGCAATCGTTGCTATTATCGAAATATCATATAAAAGGATCATAGACTTTCAGAGATCTCCAACATCCAGCATTAATTATATAGTATCTTAATTTGCTAACTGTTATTAAGAATGGAAGAGAGAGGATATGAGCATTTGAGCACTGGTCATGTGGTCAACATAGTCAACGTTACTGTAAAGCCCTAAATTTGAGATTCGAACCTGTCTCTCTTAAAACAGAGTGTGTAGGTCGAACCTAAGTGTTTTGAAAGACCTAAAAATTCTCGCGTCCATGTCTTCACCGGCAGAGTGAGCTCCTCCTCGTTCTCTCCATTGCTTGATCCACTCGCTTGTGCAGGTTCTATCACTCGCTGCCGCCGATTATCAAGTTCTATGGCACAACTTGCTTGCTCCTCACCACCGTGGAGCGATTGGGCCTTGTCAGTGGGATGCTTCTCTACTTCTCGCCAGAGCTCGCATTCAAGAAGCTCCAGGTGAGTCAGATCGCTGTTTCTTGGCTAGATTGGCTTTGTTTGCTCTCGTTTTAGCTATGGAGGGCCGTTACGAATTTCTTCTTCCTCGGGACCTTCTCGATGAACTTCGCGATCCAGCTGATAATGCTGTGGGTGATCGATCATTCAAGCTTTGTTACCATTCACACGCTCTTCGTTGTTTCCAGGGCACGCTACGGTGTCCAGCTCGAGAGATCATTCGTTAGCACGGGACAGTTCGTGTGGATGATGGTCGTCTCGGCGCTCACTCTTCTGGTAAGAACTGATCTATTTTCTCGAGTCTCGGCATCGATTTTCTTCTCTTGCAGGGCATCGCCACCGTGTTTCCCAGCCTGAACTTCTGGTTCATGGGATCGGTGCTCGTGTTCATGCTCGTCTACCTCTGGTCACGCGAGTTCCCAAACGCCAGCGTGAGCATGCTCGGCCTTGTCACAATCCAGGTGAAAATCACTCTTTCTTTCTCGTCTTTCTTCTTCACTCACTCCATCCATCGCCTTCCAGGGGTTCTACGTGCCATGGGCAATGCTCTTCATCAACACCATGTTTGGAGGCTCCTTCCTCCACGACCTCCTGGGAATCGTCATGGGCCACCTCTATCACTTCCTCACTGTTCTTTACCCGCGGTCGGGAGGACGGGACTTTCTTCGAGCTCCACGCTTCGTGTAAGACTTTCTCTTTTCCTCGTTCTTGGTTTGATCGCCAGCTCTTTTGGATTTACTTTCCAGCCACAAGCTTCTGGCCAAGTATGGGATCATCCACAGCGTCCCGCGGCAGCCAGATCGTAGCAGCCGCCCGCAGCCACAGGCAGAGTCGCCTCCATCTGCCCCGCCATCCGCCGCCGAAGGGACGGCATTCCGGGGACGAAGTTACCGCTTGAATCGAGACTAAGAAGCAAGAAAAGAAAAAACCAACTCTTTTTGTTCTAGCCTGACTTGCAAATGGCAAATGGACCTTACAAGAAGTAGCGAAAGCTCCTCACAAATCGAGGACTCTTCTTTTCATCGTCTCTGATATCGTCTCTTAAGTTAGATCTCTCGGAAGCTGATTGAAGAAGGCAAGGCCACAACGTTGGAAAACTAAAGCAAAGATGAAACATACTCTTGTGCTGGGCTGGATGATTTCTTATCGGCGCAGCAGCGGGTCTGTCATAAAATAAAACTACAAAAGGATGATTAGCTCCACAGCAAAGAAGCGGAATGAAGAACCAGGATCACTCTTCTTCCGCGCTTTTCTTCTTCTTTTTCTTCTTCTCCGAGGTTGGCGGCTCTGAATCCAGTACTATAACGTCTTCGCTCGATTCGCCTTTGTGTTTCTTCTCCTTTTTCTTCTTCTCTTGCTTTGGAGTTTCTTCCACGGCCTCCTGTTCTTCCTGTTCTTGCTTTACCTTTTTCTTCTCCTTCCTGGAGGTCGGAGTTTCTTCCACTTCGACCTCGACCTCGGCCTCTGCCCTCTTCTTTTTCTTCTTCTTCTTCTCCGTTCCTCCATCGGCTGCGTCTACCATCTCCACATCTGCGCTCTCCACTACAGCCTTCTTCTTCTTGTCTTTCTTCTTCCCGCCGTCCTCCATGGCCACCGCTGCTCCCACCATAGCCATTTCATTGCCAGCAGCTACTACAGGAAGATCCACAGTCTCGATCTTAATCTTCACACCTCCCGCGGCGGCTGCGCTAGACGTACCAACGGCAGGATGGTTCCTCAGCCACTCCTGCGGCGTCTTCTCGTTGGGCTTGCCATGCTTGTCGAGCAGCCCGGACGCGATCATCTGTTTCTTGGCGGAAGCTCTCGGCCCAAGCCCCCACTTCCTGGGATAAGTGTCCCTCTCCATCACCACCCTCTTCACCTTCGCCACCACGCCGTGGTCGCACGTCGCCATGTCCGACGTGCTCATCTGCGCGATGCCCAGAGCGATGGCCTCGCCTTTGGTGGTCATGAGCACCACCTCGGTGCCGACTCCAACCTTGGAGTCAAAGCGGAGCAGCCCCGGGATCATGAGCTTGGCACCGTAGCAAATGGCGTTCACTGCCGAGTCCTTGACGACGATCCGGGGATAGTTCGTGAGGAGAACCTCGAGCGGCATGATCACCCGCCGCAGGTAGCTCTCATCCTTGTAGTTGTCGTAGACCCACTGCGCGTCCAGGACGTCGTGCATGGTGACCAAGTTGTCCTTCTCGCCGAGGATCCCCGACTGGACCCTCCGGAGCTCCTGCATGTGTCCCCCGACCCCGAGGAGCAAGCCGAGATGGACGCACAGCGTCCGGATGTAAGTTCCGGCCTCGCACTCCACCCAGAACACCACCAAGTGCTTGTCCGCATCGAACTCGAGGAGCTTGCTCTGGTAGATGGTCCTCACCCGGAGCTGGCGCTTCACGGCAGAGATGAGCGGTGGCCTCTGGAAGAGCGCGCCGGTGAGAGTCTCCAGCCCCCGCGCAACCTTGGCCACGTCCTCCACCGCCGAGTGGAGCCGCGCAACGCAAACGTACTGCTTGCCGGCTCCCTGCTGCGCCTTGACGAGGCGCGTCGCTCGATCCACGCACACGATGAGGCTGCCGGTGACCTTGGGATCCAGCGTCCCGCTGTGGCCGGTCTTGTCCACTCGGAGAATGCGCTTGATCCAGGCCACCACCTCGTGCGAAGAGGGATTGGAGGGCTTGTCGAGATTGATGACACCATACCTCACGTAGTCGAAGAGGGGGCGCTTGAGCGGCGTGAAGCCCGTGGGCAGCGGCGTGTAGTGGCCCGTGCGGACGTTGAGGGCGTCGTAGTTCTTGAGCAGCAGCGGCCACTTGGAGGTGTCGAGCGACGGCACGAACGACTGCGGCTTGATGAGGTAGTCGGTGCCTGCCTGCGCGTCGCCGAGGCTGGCGGCGCCACTGGCGCCTCCGAGTTCTCCATGGGCCACGGCCACCACTTCCTCGCCCTTGGAGCGCTTGCGCTTCTTCTTCTCCGGCGCCTCCATTTCTTCTCAAAAACCCTAAAGTCGGCACTAGGTTTAGGGTTTAGGGCTTTGATAGCATATTCGTTTGAAAATCTCGTTTTGGCCGAGTGATGGTAGCCAAAGTTACCAACTCTATCGCTCTTACAGTCTATTGCTCTTATAGTGTAGAAGTGTAGCATTTTGAGCAAAATGCATAATTATAGACATTTATATTGTTGATTACATTTGTTTTATAAAGTGTTTTAAAATTCAAAAAATTAATAATATTATAAGAAATTAAAAACATATTGACTTTAATTGAAAGTTATTTTAATTTCATAATTTAATAAAATCATATTTAATTGCACATAAAATTTTTAAAAAGGGAAGCAACAAAGGCTTAATTTGTGGAAAATAAATTGTACTCTTAGTTAAAATGTAATATAAAAACTAATAACTAATTTTGTAAACTTCAAATCACTTTAGTTATAATTTATTTGGTCTTTTAACTTAGATAAATTGAATTGGTTATGTTTTTAAAATTTTTTTATTGCGTTGTGGATTTGTTAAACTAAGCTCCTTTTTCTCCATCTTTTTCTACTATCATATTAAAATAAAAAAAATAATATCTCTACACTTACATTTTTTATATTGTTGATTTTATTGTAATAACATTAATGATGAATTTAATATATTAATTTTAAATTTAAAAATTAAAACTAATTTTTAATTACTAAAGCATAAAATATGTATAATTTCTATATCAATTTCAATTTATCTCATTATTGTGTAGATAAGTTTCTTTAAAAAACTATTTTCAAAATATGTTTTAGATACTAACATTTTTTTTTCATATATATGAGCTATCAAACATATTTAAATATTTAAGTTAAAATATTTCTTAATTTTTGTAACAGATACATAAAGCATAATTTATGTGAAATGTGTAATATGCATAATTTTAGTTTTTTTTAAGATTTCATATTTCAATAAAGATTTTAAGTGAACTATAATTTTAACTAAATGAATTATGATTTTAAAATTACTCCAATTTTTAAATTTTTATTTCAAAACAATTAACCTTATTTAATTTTTAAATTTCAAAGTTATAATGAAATGTTTTAAAGAATTGTAAATCTAACATAATATTAGCCAATAATGAGGAGATAAAAACAAACATATCAGAGTTGCAAATTATAATGAAAGAACTTTAAGGCATTAATTAGTCAATACATTAGTAAAAGTATTAGTGCTTACAATTAAGATAAATCAAATTGCAATAGTAAAAATCCAAACATAATTAATCCTTGTTAACTCTTCACAAATTTAAATAACATTTGTGTTATTTAGTTCTTTCTTCTCACTATTAAATAAAATTTTGATGTGTAAAAAGTAGACAAAGAAACATGTATAATTTAATTCTCATTGCCATCACTATTTATGTTAGTTTTTTTTATTTTTTATTTGGCAGAGCTTAAATAGATTGAGAAGTAGTAAAAGAAGGGGTCAATAATAATATTTTTCATGATTTTTATTATATTTTTTACCCGTCACGGGTATCGTATATTGTTATTTTAAGAGAAGGAAAAACTGAGTTATATTAATTATTTACATAGTTATAACTGTAGTTATGCAATCCATATTTTATATATTTTTATGTAGATAGTAAATTTTTTTATAATTTAAAGTTTTTACCAACTTTTAATGGTTTTTATATTATAACTTCAATAAATCTATGATGCATAATTGAAATTATAATAGATTAAATCACTTAGAATTTTATTATAAATGTAAAAAAAAATTAGATAATGTTCAAAGGTATTTTTTATTTGTATTATTTTATTTATAAATTTATTGTAAATTTTATGAAGACTGAATGTATACATCTAAAGTTTTGGATTTTTCTCTAAGTAGATCATGCAAAAGGTCAATCATGTTCTAAAGATTGTAAATTGATTCAAAGTTTTCGCAAACCTTTGTATTCCTTTTTCTTGGCAAAAAGGATATTCAAGAAAAAGTGCCTAATCCTTTATTTTTTAAGAGTTAATGAGTAACTTTGTTACCTTACCTATTATTAAGAAATTTGATTATAAGATTGTGCTATTTTTAATTTTAATTTTACTTTAATGAGAATTACTTAAAACTTTTTATTTATAAACTATGAATATAATAAAACATAATATTTTAAAAATATACATAAAAATTTACATTAAAAATTTTAAACAAATTGAATATCAGAAAAAACTACTATAAATCTAGCATTGTTTACATTGTAGCTATTGATGGGGCTGCGTTGTTGATTTTAAGCCAAGCTGGCCTTAAATTTGCACTCGCAGTCGCCATTGTCGGAAGCACTCGCCTGGCTTCCACAAATGTGTCATCGGCCTTCTCTTGGAAATAAGGCATCTTCAAGGCGTTTTGTGCCGAGATCCTCCTCGCCGGATCAATCGCCAGCATCCTCTTGAGCAGCTCCACGGCATTGGGGTCTTTAATTCCGCTTCTCACGTCCTCAGCTTTCCACCACGCCATCTTCTCCAAGATCCTCTCGCGTGCTCGTTCTCGGCGCCTGTCTTGATAGCCCATGCCACAGCCATCGATGTCCAGCTTCTTGGCAAAATCAGCCACAAAATAGTTGAGCGAGTCTCCATCCTCCTCGTCGGGCACGTCAAAGGGATTGCTACCCAGGAGCATCTCCGCGAATATACACCCGGCGCCCCACACGTCGATTGCGGTGCCAAAGCTGGTGGCACCCTTGAGAAGCTCCGGAGCGTTGAACGTTAGGGTCCCGACCTCGTTCGACCAGGGGCGTGTCTGCAGCCTCCTCGCGGTAGTGAAGTCCGCCAGTTTCACCACAAGCTTATTCTTCTCTCCATCCCTTTTGACGAGAACGTTGCTCGTCTTGATGTCTTGATGAACGATTCTGTGCGCGTGAATCCACGCCAGGCCCTCCAGGATCTGGCGCATCACGGCCTTGATGTCGTGCTCCCCAAGCTTGCGTGACGAGACCACATCGCGCAAACTCCCGTCCATGAGCTCCATCACCATGAACGTCCCCTGGTTGTTGCAGGTCAACCCAAGAAGATTGACAACGTTGTCGTGCGCTACCTCTTCCAGGATCTCCGACTCGTTGATGATGGTATCGTAAAGGTACTCGTGCTCGTACATCTTCTTCATGGCTACTTTGTCTCCGGTCTTTCGGTGGAACCCAACCCTTACCTCTCCGTCCGCTCCAGCGCCTAGCAACCGCGCGTCACTCGCCCACACATAGTCTGCCATCGCTCGAAAAAATGAATGCTTAGGAAAACCTAAAGGATTTGTTTTATCAGAAAAGGCACCCAGCTTCAGATAATGTTAAAAAGCAAGGGAAAAAAAAATTTAAATCTTGGTGGTGATTTCTCGCACAGCGGGCGGGGGTGTACGGCAGCATATTTGAGCTTCCGTACGTTGAGCGGGATCATCAAGAGAGCACCACCAACTTGTCTACACACACAAAAGAAGAGAAAAAAAAAAAGGATCAGAACACATAGAGAAGAAGCTTTTTTGTTGATCTCAAAGTTCATCGTTGTTGATCGAGGAGAAGAAGATCCGATCACAGCAGAGACGAGCAGGCATTCCCAAAAAGATAAGACTAATCTTCTTTGAGCATCGAGCCCGACCGGGTAAGTAAGAGATCATAAAGGAACGGAATTAGGGCAAGACCTAGAGTGGCTGGAGAGGCGACTGGTTCATCCGGCAGATCCCAGGTACTGCATAGGCGCCGGAGTAGATCCGGATCAATGCCGGTGGGGCGGCGGCGGGGATTCTAGAGGGGAGGGATGGACAGGAATGGGAGCCCCGTAATATCGAGGCAGAGGAGCAATGAGAGCGCCACTTCATCTCCTGCCATGTCGCCGGCGCATCCGGCGCATCACGTCCGATCGGGCTCCCTGGGAGCGATGCGAAGGCCGAATTACTCCGCCAAGGCGGCGGCTGCGCGCCTCGCTAGCTTGATGCAAGCGTCGCATCCACAGGACGATGACGACGAAGACGACGATCTCCAGTTCGCACAGCAATCGCAATCCTACCGCGTAAAAACCAGCAATTTCTCGACCAGAGCCCAGTCTCCAGGGGTAAGTTCGTCATCCTTTGTTTGTCTTCCTTTCCGTGAGGAAAAACGTTCTTTGCTCGTGAGACACGAAGTTTGGAGATGCTCGGCCTCTCTTCTTTTTCTGTTTGCTGCCATAGCTTCACAGTCTTTGTTCTCACGAGTTTTTGGGATTGGGTCTGGACTGATAGTGAACTTCTTATCAAATACCAGCTAGTGAGGAGTCGGGACGAAAGTGGGAGTGACCATCAACGCTCGGCCTCTGCGGGCAGACCATTGCGCCCTACGCCTTTAGTTCCTCCTTTGGCACCCGCGTCATCTGGTCGAGTGAAGCCACCCTCGTTTTCCACACAGCCACAACGAGTGCCAGAACCTTCCGTGGATGCTGACTTTCGTCGGGATAGAAGGTGGTCGAGTGGTTTTCGTGATTTCTCTTTCTCCGTTTCATATATTGGGGCTCGTGTTTTCGGTTTCTTTCGAACGTGGTCTGATGTTTATCTTCTTGATGCAGGCCTGCTGCGGATCCGGTTCACCATCAAAGGCAAGAGTCCGGAATCTCGAGACGTGAAGCTGCTGTACTTCGTGATGAGGTATATTATGCTCAAACTTGTGAAATTTTCATCAACACTGGCTTGTAGCTTGAAGTACTTGAAGAAGAAAACCAACTTCGTCTTGACAAGGTTAGTTTCTACTTGTTGAATGTCATGTGACTTTTTTCGTTGCAGTTACGCCTTGCCGAAGAAAAACTGCAAGCATCTGAAGCAAGAGCAAGAGAGCTTGAGAAGCAGGTAAATACTGGCTTTCATCTCTGTGATCTCTTTTCTTTTCTCGCTTCCCAGGTTGCAAGTCTTGGAGAAGGTATTTCTCTGGAAGCTCGGCTGCTTCATAGGTACTGGTCTGGCTGCAGTTTTGCCTTCTAACTCCATTGATTGTAATTCAGGAAAGAAGCAGCACTGAAGCAGCGTGAGGTTTGTCTTTGCTTATTTTTCTTCTTGTATGAAGTTTATTTTACACGACAAATGCATAGGCTGCTCTAAAAGCTGCAAAACAAAATAGAGATGTGAAAGATGACGAGATTGCAGCGCTTCGTCTAGAAGCAGAGGTATCCTACATCGAGTATTGTTTTTATGCCATCTGACTGCCTGGAATTCAGGCCGCCAGAGACGAAGCTGTATCGGCATCGTCAAAAGCACTGGAAGCGGAAGCGGAAGCCAAAGCGTTGAGAACAATGACGCACAGGATGATCTTGACTCAAGAAGAAATGGTTTTTACTCGAAGGATCTTGGTGCTCTGACCGAACGCGTTTTCCAGGAAGAGGTCGTTCTCAAACGTTGCTGGCTTGCACGGTATTGGGGGCTCGCTGTACGTCACGGTAAGATGTTTATCTTAGCGTACATCTTGATTGATCTCGTGAGTACAGGAGTTCATCCGGAGACAGCTCCTCTGAAATATGAGTACTGGTCCTCCTTCGCTCCTTTACCTCTGGAAGTTGTCTTGGATGTCGGACAAAAAGGCAGCAATGAGTCTACAGGTAATTCTTTACTTCAACAACATGCTTGAGTTCGATATAAACTTCAGCCAATGGAGACGGAAAGAAGGCGTCGCGCGATGTAAATGATATCACTGGCGAAGGCAACATAGAAAGCATGCTCTCTGTAGAGAAAGGCTTGCGAGAGCTTGCATCATTGAAGGTTAGTGCCAGCCTTTGGATTGTCAAAGTAATTGTTTGGTTTGTGAAGGTCGAAGATGGAGTTCTCCTTGCAATGGCTGAGCATCGGCGTCCAAGTTTGTTAAGAGTTGGCCACAGCCTGCCAGGTACAAAACTTGCATTTCTCTTCAATTACAAACTTTTAAACTTCCAGATGCAAGAGCCTCGCCAGATGGTCCCAAACTCGTGGAATCCATGGGTAAACTTCTTTGGCATTCGCTTCTTTGCCTCGTCTAATTATCATCTTTGGTTACCAGACTTGAGTAGCGAGGAAGTAGAAGATGTACAATTCAAACAGGTAGAAAACCTCACTACATTTCGAAGTGTTTCACAGCGGCTGTATCACAGGCGTGGTTGTCTTATTTTTGGCGTCGAGCAAGAGCCAACAAGATCGAATCCGACATCGCTGATGAGCGGCTGCAGTACTGGGCCAGTCGGAATGCAGTTTCTCCGACGTTCCATGACGCTGTTGATGGTATGATCTTTCTTTCGTCATCTCCGGCATCTAACCAATGCCTCAAACTCGCAGTGGAGCGAGGCCTGATGGAGCTCCGAAAGCTGGGCATCGAGGACCAGCTGTGGGAGGCTTCTCGCAAGGAGATCGCGCAGCAGCAAGCACAGAAGGGAAGCCCCTCGAGCTGAAGACTTTCCTCCTCGCGGGTGATTTTTATCGATTCTTATTTGTTTCTCTTACAACCCCAGGGATGTATAGCTTCGATTGTCCAAACATTGGATATAGCACAGAGTGAGCTAAAAAAGTTGATCCTCACTCGGGACACAAATAAGCGCAATCACGTAAGCTTTTGTTGTTTGAACAAGGTCGAAAGATATATTTGTCTTTCAAAGTTATTCTCTCTCGATCGATTTCACTCGCTCAGTCCAGAGGATAGCCATCTGGATCTGTAAAAAAGAGAGAGAACTCGATAAGCTAAGAACACGCAAGAAGAAACTAAAGAGGAAGCAAAACTTACCAAGGAATGCGGGGCGCTCGATGTGGTTGATCAAGTCGGGCTGGATGACATCAAAGGGATCCTGGCGGCCCTTGATGTTGCTCTGGTGGAGCTTGTAGTAGTAGACCTTGGTGTACTTGGGCGCCTGCCAGAAGCCGTAAGGCTTGACGGGGAGTGACCAGTACTCGAGATTCTTGTCGCTCCGCCGCTTGGCCACCACCATGCGCTCCTTCCACAGCCGCTCCCGCTCGCGCGGGTCCTCCATCATCTGCCGGATCCAGTGCTCCGCGAATTCCTTGATAAAACCCATCCTCCTCGATTTCTTCCCTCCCTATCCCAAGCCCTAACTTTAGTTTGATATCGCGCCCACTAGGCTAGATGTAAGAAATATTTTGCTTGGATAACCAAGAGTGATTCTCCTTGAGAACTTCACTCGGCATGATATAGATTAGCAACGGTCACAGTACCTGACTGATGTTCTAGTCCGACCGCGAGCGCTCGTCTGGAGCACTATCATCGTCGTCGCTAAGTTCCACAAGCTCTTTCTCGTTAAGTTCCTGCTCGTACCACTACTCCTCATCTTGGCTCTCTTGGTCGGAATTGAGAGCGTTCCCTCAAGTGATTGTGGTGAAATGAGAATGGCACCAAGTTTGAAGCCCCACTGCTTATTCAACTGGGTCATACCTGAGAGCATCTCGAATGCAGCTAGTTTTCCGGCTGCAGCACAAGTGATCGAGATCCACCTTGTCGAGTGGCGATCCAAACTTAAAAGCTGGAAGGAGAAGAACGATGATGAACTGCAAAGCTCCCAAGCTTAAAAGTTTCCTAAGTTGGCGGGCTCACATAGAAAGCAGGACCGCTAAAACCGTGCGCAATGCAAACTGCCCTTCACCCCCGATGCCGCAGCTTCCCTCTTCCTCTTCCTCTTCAACCCAAGGCTCCTCGTCCTCTTCTTGCGCCTATAAGAAAACAAAGAGTTTGTAGAAAACACTTGAGGAGAGTTACTTACCTCCTGAGCCTGGTCCTGTGCTAAACGTACCTGGCTCGTTTTAATCTTGGCATACGCAGCTTTGCCATGATCACCGTCCTCGACGAACAAAAAGTTCTGGATGAGCTGCAGGATGTTGAGACACTCGTCGAAGCTCTGGTATGGAGAGCTGAGCTTGTCGACCACCATGCGAAACAGCCAGTTGCCACCGTTGTTGAGCCTCTCCAGGACGATCTTCTTGACAGCGGGCGAGTACGCAGTCGCTAGCTCGATCCAGGGCACTGGAATTTGGAGACGTCGCCGCCAGTTCTTGGGGATCTTCCCCATCTACACAAAGACACCAGGAAGAAACAATGGAGACTTCCGACGTGAATCCAGAAAAGCTTACCTTCCAGGTACCCGAACGTAGAACATGGCGGGAGCTGATCGAGAAAGTTCCGGCATCCAAGTCGATGATGTAGACGTACCCCATGTCGAGGTCAAGCTGCGGCGGCTCCATGTCCGGCTCTTCATTCGACACTAACACGCCGAGCTCGAGCAAGCGAAACCAGAGTCGCTCGTGGGACTCGATGTTCAGGCACAGGAACGCCCACTCGTTTCTTCCTCCCATTAAATTCTCGGCCTCGTTCCGGATGAAGTCCCGGAACCGGACAGGGTCCTCGAGGATCGCCATCCTCGCTTTCAGAGCAGCACTCCTGCTCATAATGTAGAATTGCCCCATATCTTCCAGGTATTCTCGTTCACGCCGGGCGTCAGCAAGCATGTAGTCGCGGACTGCGTCGATGATCGCGTCCGAGGGTTGATGCTCGCTTCTCTCTCGATCTTGGCACTGTCGAGCACACACACGAGTTAGGCGGAGGGAAGAAAAAAAGATCAAAGCTTGAGCCTTGATCACCACGGTGCGATCACCTGGATGAAGACGGCGTTTTCGAGCAGGCGCCTCCATTCTTTCGGGTCCGGATGATCCGCGAGCAGCGCTACGAGTCGCTCGCCGACGAACTCGAGCTGCCCCCACGGTTTGTAGAGAACGTAGTACGTGCCCTCGTAGCAGAGGGAGATCCACGCTGGCATCTCCATGGGCGAAACACCCTCTTAAACCCTAATCAAATATTTTTGGAAGGGGATTTAGTAGATATTCCAAAAGGTCAAATGAGACAAATCCCATTGTTGCCATGAAGGAGTTATGATAGGCGCTGGTTTACATCCAGAGGTGGCACCACCCTTTTTTTTTTATTGATGGAGAGGAATGCATGCAGGTTTTTTGTGATTGGAGGTCCGAAAAGCGGAAGCGATTATGAAAGGTAAAGTTGTTTGGCTCCCACTAGAAGCTCGTACAAGCAACGCACGCTTAGGGAATAAGGGCGCTGGTGCTTGTTTTATGTAGCCGCGATCCAAATGCCAACAATGTCGACTCGCCAGAGATAAATAACGAGATGCGCAGCCAAGCCGCTGCTTGGTTTTGCGTCCACGGATATGTTGTTGCTAGTTGCTGGCGCTGATTATCATCCTCCAGTTTGGGAAGATTAATGACGCTTATGGCGAGTCAAGCCATGGTAATGCTTATAGATGGATATTTTCTGTGAAAATAAGAATGGCTGCCTCTTCTTGCGTTCGGCGTGGGATTGTTGTGACTGCCGCACCGGGTACCATTTCTAAGCACTCCCTTTCTGGCATCAAGAGTAACTACTTGCAATCGCTGCTGAGCCAGGAGATGGGATATTTCGAGTGGGGACGCGATCACAGCCACCTCCACTGACACCCTCCTCATCCACGACGCCGTGGGAGAGAAAGTAAGTAAGCTGGATAACCAAAGACTAGCTTCGTCTTGATCTGCTCCATCACTTCCAAGTTATCTGGCGAGGACGAACGAAACGTAAAGTACCTGGTCAGCAGCTCGGAAGGAAAAGAAAGAACACACATTGCCTGGGAGTACTTGCGTCCATTTGTTAGCTTGTCTCCATCGCCACCTCCTGGAGCCGCGAATCTCATGACGACGGATGCTATTGAACAGGAGGCTCCATTTCTCCTTCGTCATCTTCTTGTTCTTCCTTTTCTGATTCCATTTCTGCGAGTTCTTGTGTCTCATGCTGCTGCTGCTCTCCCTCTCCCACGTCAGGCATTTCTTCATCTTCTTTGTCATCCGCTGGGCTGTTCTTCTGCGACCACAGCTTGATTGTCCTGTCGTGAGCCACTGTAACAACGTACTGGTTGTCTGCGAAAACAAGCAGTCACGTCAATTCCTGATCTCTGAAGCGTACCAATAAAAGAGCAGGGAAAAACAAATACCAGAAGTTACATCAACGCCTGTGAGCTTCCCTTCGTGTCCCGATAGCGTCTTCACGGGCTTGAAATCGCGTCCCGACCATGCCTGCAAGAAGGAACTCACACGTAAGACGTGCAAAAGCAGCTTTGTACGAACCTTGGCCGTGTTGTCAAAAGAAGCTGTCATGAGATAGTATCCATCTTCGCGCTCGTACTTCACCTGGGAAATCAGGGAGGAGTGAGCCGGAATGGTGTAGAGCATTGCCTTCCTCCTCAAGTCCCAGATCTTGCACGTATGATCCTCTCCTCCGGTTGCTAAGTGGTAGCCGTTCTTCGAGAAATCCACACCCAGCACCGGCTTCACATGACCCTCCAGAGCCATGATACTCCGTCCGGTACGAAGATCCCACACACGGGTCAAGGCATCCATGCCGCAGGAAGCCACCAGCGAGCCATCGCACTGGAAAGCGATTCCGTACAGGCCCCGGCTGTGGCCCTCTTGCAGCAGCACCTCCGCTCCGGTGTTCACATCCCAGAGCCTCCAAGTTTTGTCGAAGCTGGTCGTTCCAATGTAGGCTCCCGATGGATGGAACGCGATCCTCGCCAGGCGCGTCAAGTGGCCCTTGAAAGCCATCTTCATGTTTCCTTGAAGGTCCCAGACCATGGCTGTCCGATCCGCAGATGCTGTCGCTATGTTCTGTCCATCGGGAGAGAAGACGACGTCCGTTAACCTCTCCGTGTGATGGCCTTTGAGCGCTCCCACTTTTTTCACGTCGGGCACGCTCCAGATCTTTGCGACACCAGTCCAGCCACTGCGATACACAAACAAACAAACAAAAGATGAATGACAAAGAACATACTGAAAACTAGCTCTGCTGAAAACAAAAACTTTCACGTACCACGTAGCGAGAAGCGCCGAGTCTGGCGAGAATGCGCATCCCGTCAAGGGCCTGTCGTCGCCAATCTCACTGCAATCCAGCGAGAAGTTGGCGACGGATTTGAGCACCGACTTGATCTCCTGCTCCTCGTCCTCGTCCGGATTCTCCCTCTTCCGCTTCGCTCGAGCAATCCTGTCGGCGGCGCGAGGAACGGAGAAGTGGAGGATCTCCATCCTCGCTCGCAGCAAGTCCGCAGTGCCCTCGGTGTAGAAGGTGCTCTTCTGGACAGCCGAGATCTTGACGGACTCCTCCTTGGCCTCCTGCTTCTGGGGGAGCCGATCACCACCCTCATCGGCCATGAGGTAGCGCAGCCGGTCCCGGCGCTCCATCTCGCGCTCCCCAAACAGCGTCACCGGCTGGCCCATCTGCCGCAGCTTCTCCTTCACGGCGGCATCGCTGGTCGGGACCGCCAGCGCAGCCGCCCGCCGCTGGAGCAAGATCCTCTCCATGTCCTTCTCATGCTTCTCCCGCGCGACCTTGCTCGCCTCGGACACCTCATACTCATCCTTCTTGGCTACCGCGGCAGCGCCATCCGAGTGGAGCGTCGGGATGTCCGCGAGCGCCACGGTCTTGGCGACCTCCGCGGCCATGGCAGTGGAGACCTATCGACTAGAATGCCGCTCACCTCTCTAGCGCCATCGCCATCCCATTCATTCTTGAAGCTCCAAGCCCTAAACCCTAAGATGTGATTTCTTTATTTGTGCCTGGGGTTCGAGTCCTGGCGTTTCCAAATATCTGGTGGAGTGGATCTTTCTTGGTAACGAGAAATGCAGGGGTTTGGTTATAAAGTCCCACCACCCTAGGCTATGGCTATGCCCACCAGCAAGAGCAAGACAATAACATCAACACCAACCGTATAAATCGCTTCTTCAAACTAAATGGACATATGTTTGTCCTTCGGTAGAAGATTTTCTATTCGCGAGAGCGAAGTGTCCACCAATTTCGCTAAAGAAAGATGCGTGCCTTGAATGCCAGCCGGACAAATCCGCCCAATCTTCTTGGTTAAACAACAACAAAGAAAAGAACAAGAACGGATATCAAATACATGGTTGGATGCAAATCATACCAGGGATGATTGTCTTAAGGGTAAAAATCCTATGATTCTACCCAGAGCCGCCCTCCAAAATATGCCTTCTTTCCGTGTGTTGCCCACCACATATATTCTGCCCGCCACCCCCCACCACCTTTTGTCAGACCTAATTCTAACCCAGGCATTCTTTGCGCTCAAAGAAAATGGCGTGGGGTGGGACATGACGACGACATGTATATGTGTCTCACACAAAGTTATCAGGACAGAATCTAGGGCTGGGCCAAAAGCCGTTATGGGCCGACGTGGCGCCCCACCGCGCCGGCGTGGCGCGACGTGGCTGCCAGGTCGACGGTCTGACACGGCCAACGGAAACACCGCGTACGGACGGCGATGTCGCGAGCCAGCCGTACAGTCTCCTCCCGAAAATAAGCTGCTGCGCTGCCTGCGGGAGAAGAAAAAAATAGGGTTCTTTCTATTCGCGAGGTGGGAGCGATCGATCGGGATAGGCGCTGGGGCGCTAATTTGGAATCCGGAGAATTAAAATGGTGGGGGATTCCGGGATTTGGATTCATCCGGCGCGAGCGGACGCGCGGCGCCGTCGCCCTCGGTGGGATCACACGGCGTCAAGGCCGCGGTGGCGGTGACGACGATGCGGGGATCCAGGCCCTTGCTATGGCGGTAGCGCTAGAGCAGCGGCAGTGGTAGGCAAGGAGGGTAAGGGAAGGAGGCGCTTTGACTCGAGCGGCCGGATCGGATTTGGCAGTGCGATGTGTAAGAGGCGGTCACGGGCAGAGATTTCTGGGCTGGGAGAGAGCTTCCAGCATCTTGGGAGGAGCTAGATTGAGCCACCACAGTCGCTTTTGGTCTCTCTCTATCTCTCTCTCTCTCTCGCTTTCTCTTTCTTGCTCTTCTTCCCCTCTCCGGCGAGGATCCAGGGAGGATAGGATGAGGAAAAGTCCATCGAGATGGGAGGTAGCGCCGTGGAGCCGGCTTCGGATCATCCGCGTGATGCTGGGCGTGGTGGGGCTGTGCCTGATCGCCATGACGCTGGAAGCCCCAAATCTGTTCCAGCCCAGGGCGCAGCTCAAGGCGGTCGGTGCGTCGACGCAGCAGGAGCTCAGGGAAGAGATCCCAGCCAAGCCTCGCCGAGCTCTCATAGATGGAGCTAAAGAAGATCTCTCGTCTACACGCTCCCCGCAACACCATGGATCCTCGAGCTCTGGCCCGTCCTCGAGCAGTAAGAACCATCCCCAGGAAGAACAGGGATTGCCCAAGCCACGTCCAGTGGAAGGAGGAGAGGAGGAACGAAGCTCGCCACCACCCGCGTCCTCGGCTACCGCGCTGCTCCACGCCGCCCGCGCCGCCCGCGTCGCCGGCGCCAAGATGTGGCAGCTCGTCGAGTCCAACTTCGCCGCCTCGCCGGCGGCGGCAAAGCAGCACAGCAGCAACCTCACCACGCTGGCCTCGTCGCCGCCGCGCAAGAACTCGCAGTGCCCCCAGGTGGTGATCGTCTCCGGCGACGAGCTGCGCGGTACCGCCAACGTCGCGGTCATACCGTGCGGCCTGGCGTCGGGCTCCTCGGTCACGCTCGTCGCGCGGCCTCTCAAAGCCCACCCCGAGAACTCGCCACACATAAGGATGCTGCCCGACGGCCAGAGCGACGTGATGGTGTCGCAGTTCATGGTGGAGCTCCGCGGGCTCAAGCTGGTGAACGGGGAGGACCCGCCGCGAATTCTCCACGTAAATCCGCGGCTCCGGGGCGACTGGAGCGGCAACCCCGTGATCGAGATGAACACTTGCTACCGCGGGCAGTGGGGCGCCGCGCTCCGCTGCGAGGGATGGCTCTCTCCGGATGAAGAAGCTGGTAAGTCATGGCAAAGCTTTCGCGAAAGGTTGGTTTCTTACGCTGTTCTTCGCAGTGGATGGATTGCCGAGATGCGAGAACTGGCTGAGAGAGGAGGAAGGGAGTAGCAGCAAGGGCAGCAGTAGTAACGCTGCTACGCGAATTCCCGGGAAGAACGCGAACACTTGGCTCAACACTTGGATACCAGAGCCCGAGAAGGGAGGATTGGACTGGCGGTACCCGTTTGCCGAGGAGAGGCTGTTCGTCTTGACGATTCGGGCTGGATGGGAGGGGTACCACGTTAGTGTCGATGGCAGGCACATCACTTCTTTTCCATACCGGACTGTAAGTTCGAGAAAAATGTCTTTTTTCTTGACTGGGAAACTTACAAGCTCCTCTTTTTTGCAGGGATTCATCCTCGAGGAAGCCACTGGTTTTGCCATTGGCGGCGATGTTGAGGTTCGCTCCGTTGTTGCGACGGGCTTACCATCGTCACACTCGGTGGTTTCGTCGGATCTCCCGCTGGAAGAGTCGGAGCAATATAAGGCTCCTCCTCTACCGGGTGGATCCGTCCATCTCTTCATAGGAATCCTCTCGGCAAGCAACCACTTTGCGGAGAGAATGGCCGTCCGGAAGACGTGGATGCAATCGACGTCTATTCGATCATCGCTGGTGGTCGCGAGATTTTTCGTCGCACTGGTAAGCAGCTGCTTGTCTTGTCTTATCTGTTGGAAGTTTTGTTTCTGATCCGTGGAGCGACTATGTTGTTGCAGCATTCTGACCTTGAGATCAACTTACAAGTGAGAGAGGAAGCAGAATATTTTGGCGATATGGTGATGTTGCCTTTCATTGATCACTACGATCTCGTTGTTCTCAAGACTGTCGCGATTTGTGAATATGCGGTGAGCTTCTTCGTTGAGTCTATAGGAAAACTCACGTTCATCTTTGCTGTGTGGCACAGATTAGGAACGTATCAGCAAAGAACGTAATGAAAACTGACGATGATACCTTTGTGAGGGTGGAAACGATTGCCAACTTGTTGAAGAACACTAAGAAGGCCCCCGGACTCTACATGGGTAACATCAACCAATTTCACAGACCATTGAGAGAAGGCAAATGGGCTGTAACTTACGAGGTAAATCTTTGTTTCTTCCTCTTTGTCGTTGCTTATCGAGAGAGTTCGCAGGAGTGGCCCGAGGAAGAGTATCCTCCTTACGCTAATGGCCCGGGGTACGTCATCTCGTCGGACATCGCCGAGTTCATCTTACAACAGCAAAACAACCACACACTGAGAGTAAGGAAACTTTGATCTCGTAGTACGAGGAGATTGCTTACTTTATATATGCCCTTCTCCTCTTTCAGCTGTTCAAGATGGAAGACGTGAGCATGGGAATGTGGGTCGTCCAGTTCAATCTCGCACAGGCGGTTCACTACGTCCACAATCTCAAGTTTTGTCAATGGGGTTGCGTCGAAGATTACTACACGGCACATTATCAATCGCCGCGCCAGATGTTGTGTATGTGGGACAAGCTGCAAAAAGGCGATGCTCAGTGCTGTAACATGAGATAACCTTGGAAGCATTCAACCGTAGAGAACGCGCACAGAGCTTTTACAGGCATATCTGTCTCGTAGAGGGACCGTTTTAGAGGAGATAATTTTGCAAGAGGGAGAGAATAATATACTGTCAATACAGAAAAGTTTTACAGACATACCGAGCGAGGTCCTCGCCGCTCAAATCTACGAGAAACCTGGAAGTCATAATGTAGGAGATATGAATGCTCAGCTTTAGAAATGGGAAGACTTACTCCTTTCCAGTCTCGATTTAGACGAAGATGGATGAATCAAAGCTCTAGTCACGAGCGTTTGATATCACCATCCGGAGAAGTCTTTAAATGCAACTCCGCCAGAGTCAGCAGTGATCTTTTTCCTTGGCAGCTCTTCGCTGTCAGCATGTAGAGACGAAGCTAGCTTCCCGCTTGATTTAAGGTATTTGGCAACTCCGCCGCCAGTCGATACAGGTGGATTGCTGTACCATGATCCGACCTTGTCCTGGGAAAACAGTGCTTCCTCATGAGCTCAAATACATTTAGAGAATAAAAAAGTGTGGGACTCACGTTCTCCGTCTCTGTTTCTTCGGCTTTGTGTTTTTGTTCTTCTGGTTCCTCTGGTTCTGTGTACGGGTTCACGTAAACCGAAGCCTTCAGGATTTTGATTTCTTCCTGCATGAGTAAAGTATAAGGCAGAGACACGGGAAAGGACAAGAGCTTACCAAAGGACGATCCTCATCGTCTACAGGAACTTTATCCATAATAGACAAAGCTTCGATGCCTCCCACCACGTTGCCAAACACCGTGTGCTTGCGATTCAAATGTGGTGCCGACTTGTAGAGAATAAAAAACTGCGAACCGTTACTGTGAGGACCACTGTTGGCCATGCTTAGTATGCCTCTGCCGGAATGTTGCAGCTTGGAGTGAAACTCATCTTTGAAAGGCTTTCCCCATATAGACTTCCCTCCGTGTCCCGTGCCTGTGGGATCGCCTCCTTGAATCATGAAATTCCTGAGAGAATAGAAACGTCAAGATGGAATCTCCAAAATCTAGGACAAACCTGATGTTTCGATGAAATATGACACCATCGTAGTAGCCGCGCTCGCAAAGGGTCAGGAAGTTCTCGCACGTCCGTGGTGCCATGTCGCAGTGCAGCTCGATGTTAAGCTCGCCATGCGTGGTTTGAAGCTTGGCGTATCCTTTCTTTTTCGGATTTTTTTCCGCTTTCACAAACTCCTCTTCGTTCGTCGTCACTGGAGCGTACGTTGTTGAAGTTAATGATCGAGAAGCAGCCCCGGACGAATACCGGCTCTTCACCAGCTGCGTGTTAACGGGCACACGCTCGCCGGCGACATGAGCAGCAACACGAGCAGCGGACTTCTCTGCACTCAGCGCTTTGGCGGAGGCGTGAGTTTTCCCGTGTAGAGCAGCAGACGCTTTGTCAACAATGCTCATTGCTGGAGCAGGAGTTGTGTCCTCAGGAATCTCTTTAGCTGATTTCACAGCCGCAAGAGCGGCAGCACGCTGTGTCTGAGCTTTACCACCACCACCACCTTCGTCTGCCACTTGTTTCGCTTTCTCGGTTCCCAGATCTCGCAGCATACGCTTGGTATCTTCGGACATGTTGATGTAGTACTCCGGGTCTTCTTTCATCTTCCTCATCTCTACAACACAAGATATTGCAACGAACTGAAAAGACACAGAAACACGCATACCTTCACTTTCGACAATAATTTCCTTTTGAACATGATCGAACTCTGACAGAACTTTTGTCTCGAGCTGGTTAGGATCCTTTCAGTCATAACAGAATGTCTTGTCAGATTTAAGATGACGCAAACAATTATTTACCTGAATGGTGATTATATCGTTCCTGGTAAAGGGTTCATCAGTTAGAAGTTCTTTCCAGTTTTTGGCCTTCAAATTGAGCTCCTTGATTGCCTACAGAACTACAAATTGAAACAATAGATTACTTCTATAGCTGATTGCAAACCTCGTACGAGAAGACGTTCCCAGTCGTCTTAATCGCAACAATGTGTGTGAATTCTGTGAAGACTTTGTGAAGGACAGGACAGTGATACTCTCCTGCACACAAGAAACTAGAGTCAAAAGGCAACGCTCAAAACCAATCAAAGAGCAGCATGACTCGCTCACCATCTGCGTTTTTGTGAAACTCTAGCTTGATCAAATCCTTCAAGCTGAGAGGAGTGCCAGTGACAGGATTCTTCTTATGCTTCTGCACATAAGGCACGATATGCCTGGAAAAAAGTCAGGAAAAACGAAGAAAAATCAGCTTACATGAGCTCGAAGACGTGCCCCTCTTTCGTACACATTGGATCGGAGAATGGCGTGAAAGTAAGCCTAGAACACCACATTTTCCCAGGTCCTGCTAGAAATCATGAAATCGAAAAACTTACGCGCAGCAGTAGTATGGAAGGCGCTTGAACGGAAGGCGCACGTCCCTGTCCTTGGCGCCTCCCCATTCCGTCGCCCATTCCGTGCGTGTGATGAAGAGCCGATCCTTGCTGTGCTGCTTCTTGCCCATTCTCAAAACCCTATCCTGGCGGGAGAACGAAGAACCCTAAAATTGAGAGAGAGCTCAGGATTGAGATATTCTTTCGATTCTAATCGGACGGTGTACATTCGAACTAACGGAAGATGCCGATCCAACGGCGCGGACTTCACCTTGGGCCGGACAAGTAGCTCGCCGAGAGGAGATCCTCGCTGTTAAACTCGCTGCCGAGCGAGTACCCATCTCGCTCGCTCACAGCGTCGGCCATTCGAGCGTGAAGCCTCACTGCCAATTGACTCGACAGTGGCGGATCCGGCACTGGAACGTTTCCCTCGAGCATCTGGACGACCTTGCCGATCGAGGGCCGCAAATGCATCTCCTCCTGGATGCACCACAGCGCGATCTTCACGGCCTTGACCACCTGTTCTTCGTTTGAGTGGCCTTTGAGCCTGGCGTCCAGCAACTCCACCAAGGCTCCCACCTCGGCCTGCTTGAAAGCGTAGGCCGGGATGTACCACTTGTCCGACGTCTCGTTGGGATCAAAGTTCTTGCGGCCGCTCACGATCTCCAGCAGCACCATGCCGAAGCTGTAGACGTCGCTCTTCTCGGAGATGGCGGTGTTGAGAAGCCACTCGGGCGCGAGGTAGCCCCGAGTTCCTCGCATGGTCGTGAAGACGTGGCTTTGCTCCCGGTTCATGAGCTTGGCCAGCCCAAAGTCGGACACCTTGGCCGTGAAGTGCTCGTCCAGGAGGATGTTCTCCGGCTTGATGTCGCAATGGATGATCCTCTCGCGGCAGTCCTCGTGCAAGTAAACCAGCCCTCTCGCGGTTCCCAGCGCGATGTTGTATCTCGTGTCCCAGTCCAGCACCACCGGCGGCTGTTGATTCACGGGGCTGTCGCTCAGCAACTGGCTGCTGCTTTCGTTGAAGAGAGACTTATCCAGCGAGCCGCGAGCTAAGAACTCATACACCAGGAGCCTGTGTGTTCCCTCGGAGCAAAATCCACGGAGCCTGACGAGGTTCACATGATGAATGCTGCCGATAGTCGCGACTTCCGCTCGAAACTCTTTCTTTCCCTGTCCGATGCTCTCCAGTTGCTTCACCGCCACCTTGCTCTTGTCCGGGAGAGTGCCTTCGTAGACAGAACCGAATCCACCGCCGCCAAGTTTCTTGCTAAATCCATTAGTCGCAGTTTGCAGCTCCTTGTACGTGAACCGCGCTGGAAGTCCGGGTATGGCTTCCAAGAAGCCATCCTCCTCGTCTGGATCGGCTCTTGCGGCTCTCAGCCTCCGCTTATACCACCACACGAACCCACCGATGAGGGCGAGGATCAAGCCCAGGCTGCAGCCGACGATCACGTAGATCAGAATGCTCTTCTGCCCATCGTTGCCTTGTTTCTTGGGAGCTTTTATAAACGTCTGGAAGCCACCGTTTGTGCTGTCGAAGCTCCCGAGCTTCACCGTGTTGGACAAGTAGCACGACCCCGACGTCGTGTTGAAAAACCCGGTCGTGCACGAGCAGTTCTCCGTGCAAAGTCGCTTGCAATCCTGGAGCGTGACCGCGGATGCTGGTGTAGCAAACTGGTTTGCAAAGTAAAACAAGTTCGTATCAAGGTCTTGAAACTGAAAGTCTTGCGGGGATTTGCAGAGGTCCAAAGCCGCCACTTTGCATCCCTGCGTCGGACTACTGGGATTTATCAGTGGAAGCGAGGCCGGGCAGTTGCATTGCCCGTTGGAAGAGCACACTCCATACGGCCCGCAAGGACTTGGCAGCAAGCAGTTGTCCAAGAAAACGGAAGCATCGGGAAGTTGGCCACTCGACGTAAACGCCCTCGACTTTAGATTTCCATCGGAGCCGAGAACGAGCAACACCATGGTGCCGGAGCTGTTCGTCTGGCTCGGCAACGGTAGCGTGGCGACGAGTGTGGAGCTACCGTCGTAGAGACCGAGCTGCCCAGGAGAAACGCTCGCAAACTCGGGGTCCGTCTGGAAGTTTAAGATGGATCGCACGTCCGTGGCCAGCCTCCAGTATGGGACGAGAGCTCCTCCTCCCATATCCATCTCCAGCTCCAATGTGTGGTCACCCAAGCTCAAACTATACGGGCCCTGGGAGAAGTCCGTCGTCGACCTCTTGCTCGTGAGCTTCATCCCGCGCTGGAGCTTCTGCCCGACCACAATCACGTCGGTGGGATGCGCAAAGCTCTCCCACAGCGTCCTGTTCCTGCTGTCCTGGACGACCAAGTTGCCGCTATCGAGCAGCCGGAGAGTCTGCGCGTCGGTTCCATTCGTGCCGGTGCTCCAGACCGGCAAGCCGCGCGGCCCAAAGAGGATGACGTTGCCATCGTCCTGGAAGATGAGATTATCGGCCTGGCTCACGGGGACGTTCCTGTTGGCAGTCCACACGATCTGGTTGATCGCCGCGCCCAGCACCACCGAGAGGTAGTACTGATTGCGACTCGAGTAGAAGAATGTGAGGATGAAATTCCCACTCGCGGATTGCATGAACTGGCCCTGGTTGTCCACCCAGTGCATATCCGACGCGCTGAATGGCTTGGTGACATGGTCGCTGAAGAGCGAGTTCGCCGATCCCAGGCCAAGAGCACACATTACCAATCCTACCGCAAAAATCGCGCCCTCCAGCATCCTTTTCTCGCTCGATTCCTCCCAGATCTGCTTGCCCTGACCCGATCTACGCCACGAATCGCATCCTAGCGGCCCCCGCGCCCACCCCCTGGACCGATGATCCACCGGCGATTCAACGCGGATATTTCGACCCCGAGAATGCGGGCGCCGCCTCGCCGCACTGGCGCTACCTCGCTATCTCCTCCAGGGGATCAAAATCTCCACACAACTCACCACCGCCATCACGCCAAGCTCGAGCGATTGAATGAAAGCCCCCGCATTGGAGCCAGCCGTTGATGTCAGTCAAGGGGTCCGTGCAATCCCGACCGTTGGATCGCTGGCAAAATTTCTCAGATCATCGGTTGTCTTCCTGGCAACATAATAATGTCCAGACGACAAAGCTTTGCGAGCATATTTCCCGGAATCTTCTCCCCCTTATTTAACAAAGTCGCCGTGTCTTTGACAACGCCGTAGCGGCGTGACTGTCCTACCAACCGAAACGACTGATCCTTCCTTGGTTGGAGCCGGTCAGTCGAGAAGAAAAAAAGACTTCTTCTCTTCTCATCGACGCTTTGACGGCGTCGGGAGCGATCGATCGGATGTGATAGAAGCAGTGATGCAATGCTGAGCTTCACTCCAGACACCTGTTTGATCGGGTGTGGGATCTCAACCTGTGGAAACTCGGGAAGAAAACAAACTTGTCCCTGTGCCTGTTAAAATCGATCCAGCTCTCGCTGTTAAGCTACAGTCGAAGAAAAGGAAGGCTCGAGAAAAAAAACAAAAAGGAGGTACCTCTTTGCATGAATTCACGAAGAATGGGAGAGGGTGGCTCCACGGTAGTAATACTCTCGCATCCAAAATCTCTGAGAAGTTTCAGTATGACCAGAAGAAGAAAAAAGGAAAACTGAAGGTGTGCTCACCGACCTGGATTCTAATCTCTTCCCCATTTATTGATCACGCGTGACTTCGCGCTTTGCGGCTCACTGGTCACGGGAGCTAGAGAAGGAGAAGTAGCACCACTTTGTTGTTGCTTTCGCTTCGTCGCCCTTCGAAGTAGCAGCGGTAGATTCAACACAAATGCGACGCTTTTCTTGCCCCCCATGAGCATGTATTTGGGAAGATTAAGCAAAAGAACCAAGGACTTCTTCCCGTTCGTGAGGAGGAAAAACTGCAAAGAAAAGAGAAGAGTGGACATCAGTTAGTTCATGCATGGCTGGACGAACGAAACATGAACTTACGATTCCAATCAACCCCGTGAAAGCGAAGACAATTTGCTTGGCTTCTTCCCAGGAGCCCTCGTTCGCGGGGTCACCTCCGCCACCGCCGCCTCCACCACCGCCGAATCCCCCCCAACGTCCTTTTCCTCCGCCAGAGCCTCGAGAAGTAGCCTCTCTCCGCCGGATTTCCTCGTCCCATTTACTAAACGCCTCCTTCTTCCCACCTAAAGCCTGTTCTAGAGCCTTTCGAGCGGCCTCTTCCTGGAGCACAGCGAGTGTGTCACGCACGGGAGATCTATCAGTCCGCATTTACCTTGGAACTCCGGCCGCCGATGCAAACAATCCGCGAATCGCCTGCTCTGCAGCGCCGTGGCGCTGCCCAGGCGAGATCCACCGCCGCGGGAGAATGCAACGCCATCGCCATCGCCATTTCCGGCCCTAGATACAGAGTACCCCTAGCCCTAATTTTATAGTGGCCGACCAAAATGATCTTAAATAAGATGTTTAAATGTATAAACAAAACTTTAACATTCTAGTTTCAATATTAGAAGCGTATATGTGAAATTAGTCATAATTAATTTATATTATTTTCCACTTAAATCAACTTTTCAAGCATTTAATTTTTGTATAATTTCTGTATAAAATCAAATTGAATTTCGTTCATTCTCATTTATCTATTCAAAATAATATTCCATTCTCTTTGAAGAATATATGTTTATTGATAATTCATTAAATAATTTCTTTCTTTCATGGATTATTAAGATAAAAATTATTTTAATTCTTTCTAACATAACTGATATATTGAGTTGGAATAAAAAATTTAATATATTATGTTATAGTTATTTTATTAAAGTTTATATTGAGATTCATATAATTTATATTTTATGATCATAGCTTAAAGTCATATTGTAGATCTAATTTGAAAAACTTGTATTTCAAAGGTTTAAAATTAATATCTTTAAACTATATAATGCAGTTTAAAAAGTGTATTATATATATAACATTTATTTGTAAATTATTTATATAATTTTGCAATGTTCACCATAAAACATGAGAACAAAAATGCCCCTTTGTTGCAATAAATAATATCAGAATTCATTCTACTATTTAATTAAATTTTAATTAAATAAATACCAATGCTTTAATTTAATTAGTAAATATGATGACTATGGAGCACCATATTGGGGATGATTGGCATGCACATAGTTTACATGAAGTCCTTCAATCAACAGTGAATATGATGATTTTTTATTATTGAACCTACTTG